GAAGCCCCTGTCAAATCTGTAACGGCCCCTTGCTTGTAGATCCTGGTCCGTGTGTCTTCCCGTCAGAAGTCACTTGCTCTCCCAAACCTCCACGCAAGCTCCTGCCAATTTTGTTTCGGCACTCATTTTTATGAGTTTCTCGTATGCGGACCTTTTCACCCTGCTTGCACCGTTGTGCGTTTCTCCCTTCTCCGCGGGGAGAATAACTAAAATCGTGGAGTCGAAGTCCCCGAATGTGACCCTCTTGTCCCCGACGGCACCCGTAGTCAGCGTCAAACAACAAGTCAAGTCAAGTCAACCACGACTCGGGTCTCCCTCCCGTTGTCGGCTCTTGACGACAACTGCAACCTTGTCATCTCTCGTACCCAGGCATAGGTAATCTCAGACGCCAGGGAAGCAGGGCTACAAAGAGATGCCAGCCATGCCACGTGATGGCGATGATCTTCAGCATAGGGAAACACTGTCGATGTAGAGGCTGGATGTGCATCTTCATGTACCGTTCGACCGACGATCAAAACCGTTGCATATTGTGGCGACCTTTCGTTCCTGATCCGCATCTGGGTTCCTGACTATCATCCGCCATGTGAAGCCGAACAGACTTCGACTCTTCAGTGTAGGCTTTTGCAAAAGTCATGTGAGCATCTTGTTCTCGTATTGTTGGGTTGAGTCGTCCTGGAAAGCTCCGAGACATCTCCGTCTGCAGCCTGCTAATTTGACGCAACTGTCAACCAGAAATTTGATGTTCTCACCACCACAACTTTCATAGTTGACATCGCCGACCTAACCACTTATACAACAGGGGTTTCCGGGGAAGTTGTGTTTCGTGTGGCCCAGAACGGTTTAGTTTAAGCGATCGCTCACTTTACATGTACAGGGTAAGTTGAATGTTCATATGTGAGCACCTGGAAGCGAATATGATCGCCTCAACTGTACCAGAAACAGCACAAATGCTTGATGGAAACGGCAGGGCCAACTCGTGGGTAACTCAGAGCTGCATGTTTAGCCCTTAACCCTCGGTTAGCAGAACGGTATCGTGGTATCGTGGGGGAACCAACTTTCTCGAGCGATAAAGGTACACAGGCCTGCCAATCCTTCTATGCAAGCCACTTGAGTCGATCGACGCCAAGAGACTGGTTAGGACAATGAGTTTTTCTAATCAAAATGAACCTTGCTGCTGCTGTGGTTGGGTTGATAGATCCAACAGGTGCGTGGTGTCTCTCGAGCCTGGCATAAACCATGGTTCTGTGCGGGTGGACCGACCAAAGCACTCGACAGAGGCTCCGGGCAGCCCAGAATGGCAAAGAGCAGCACACGCACAAATTTTTGAGATGCAAACCCAGCCGGTGTTGCATCGGGCCAGCTCAGCTGGTCCAGAATGTTTGCTATGTGGATATGTAGAGGTCGGCGGACAGAGGAGGCTGAAGGTCGTCTCAAGTAGGATTGTAATATATCCAGCGTCGTCCCGTCAAAACCTTCTGCAGCCTCCGGTAGAATTGTCGCGCTGTGGTGAGAGGAAAATGCCACTCTCCAAGGCTGAAACCTACAGCAGCTGACCGTCTCTCCAGACTCTCGATTTCGCCATCCCGAACCTCTCTCCCGATGCCCAACTTGCGGTGTCAGAACGGGTGTGAGGGGATTAGGGCCTGCTGACTGTTCATGGGGGAGCATGAAGGCTTCAAGCCCCATCCGATGTGCCGCCATTGGCTGCGGCTGCCGCTGACTTGCAGGGGAGAAGAGAAAGAGCAGCCTGTTGAGCTTTACCCCCCCTGCTAACCCCGCTTAGTAGGAGCAGTGATGGATGGTGGCTTCTTGCTTGGGGGGGTTTATTCCCGGTCCTCTTTGCGGTGAGTGGCCGATGTCCAGTGCTGGTGGTGGGGTTGTATCCTAAGATGGTCGCCGGGAACGCAGCCCAACTGGCGGAGAGTGGAAGCCATCATCCTCAAAGCAAGGAAAGAGAAGAGGGCAGCAACAGCTCATCTACCGCTACAAGCGCGAGCCAAGCATGTCGACTGGTGCGGTGATAGTTCTAGGAAGAGTCCAGTGTACAGTTGCTGGTGACGAAGTCCTGGCTGTGTCAAAGGCGGAGTGTTGATATCTCGGAATTCGATGAGATGCTCTATGTTGCCTGGCTGTTATTGTTTACTTGTTCCGTTTTGGCAAGAACAATGGCTTTGATATCATGGTCGGCACGTCAGTTGAGGAAAGGGTAGGAGGTTAAGGATAATGAATGGACCAGGGTAGTGGCCCAGGTATCTCGCTCGGTGTCGTGTAGAGTTTAGGGTGGTGTAGGGATACGCCATCCGTCTCTGGGACCGTTTCTCCGCGCTGTCATCAGTTAGATGAACAGCGTCATACAAAGCAGAAGCATGTAACCTCTGACCCAGTGCGAGCCTCATCCCTTGAGCAACTGGAAAACGGCGGGGCTCAGTGATGTCACGCCCCCCCAGGATGCGATAGCGACCCCTAAAATCGCTGTGTTTAGCACTGAAACACAGGGTCTTGATATCTTCCATTACCCCATTCCGAAGAGATTGATCATAAAGACAGGCGAGGGTTGGACAAGAGACGTCACTGGGCCTAAAAATGACCCGCGATCCTTCGATGAAAGAGAAAGGCAAAGGCACAAGACGGCGGCAGTTTGGTGCCCCACTTTAACCTCCTTGCTGGCTCCGCACCTTCCGCCGCCACACCACCACACCACCACTGAAATGGCGGAATGGTTCCCCAGCGTCATCAATTCCACTTCAATGTCACCGACTTGAGGGGTACGAGGGGTAGTTTGCGGTTATACCGCTGAAGAGGTGCGCTGAAATCTTCTCGCTCGACTTCAGCTACGACCTGACCTAAACCATGATACCCTCAGTGCCTCGCTTTTTCTACACCACATATTACTGCTACTACTACTGCAGGATCTCGATGTAGATTGAACGTTTGGTTCCTGAATCCACAGTGCGTGGGGTTGGCTAGGCAGTGCTAGGACAGTCCTAGTCTGCCTAGTTAACTGCGAACAACTGGAATCTGCAGGTATTGCCTCTTTTGGCTAATACACAGTCTGTCCAGCGTCAGCGGTGAGTGGGTGGAGCCCCCAATTGTGCTTTGCTGGCTGGCATGCAATTCCGCAGAATTCGATCCCACCAACTCCGTGCCTGGTCAAGCAAGGTGCCACACACCTCATTCACACCCTGGCATACAGCCCATCCCGTCACAATACATACAACAAAAGCATGATTTGCCCCTCTCTGAGTACCTACCGTCACCTGTTTGGCCATTGTTTGTGATGGGTGCTGATATGGGCGTCAACAGAGAGCGTATGAATTCGAATAGCGTAGCTTACAGGTGACTAGCGAGCAGAGGAAATCGATTTGACCGAGCAAATTAGCAGGTCAGAATGGAGTATACTTGGATTGGGCTTTTAACAGTCCCTGCATAACGAAGGCCCCCCATCGCAAGTCGTCCTCCACAAAAAGCACAGAAAACATCGGTGGCGTTTGTTAGCCGGAACGCCAGGGCAGCACTACCTGTACCTGAAAGCAACTGTACTTTGCATCTTGAACAGGCCGCTCGCTGAAGGGTGAGCTTGAACCAACTGTTCACCGACCGAACCCGTCCCCGAAACCTGAACGTCATCCTTCACCTTGAAAGCCATTGATGCCATGCCGCTTCCCGCCTCATTCGCAGCTTTTCATCGTGGCCTTCCTCGCAGCGCCAAAAGTCATTCCTGGCAACAAAGCAGCCCTGCTTGACCAAGCCGGGACAGACGGACACCTTGAAAGAAGTAATTCTGGAGTCTAATATCTTGCGTCCCCGCCAGCAGCAGGGGGAGCAAGAGAGACAACATTTCTCCAACCCCCCGTCCCCCGGCAGCCCCCGTCCCCCGTTTCACCGCAGCCCCAGTCGTGGCAGAGACGGTCCCATTCTTTTTTGCCTCTGGACCCCTGCTGCCAGGTCATCCTCGATTCCGTATTCCTTGCAACCTCCACCGGCTCACCCTCCGCTGCACCACACACGCACAGCGAGCTGCCGTCCGGCCTGTCCATTGACTTCATTGCTTTCCCCCTGTGGATAAGTGTGGGAGGGGTTGCTTGTTTTGTGCTTGGCATACCCTTCTTTCGTCTTGACTCCTCTGTCCCATACCCTGCCCTTCTATAAGACCGGTGCCGGCACTGACAGACGGTCTGTTGGAGAGAGAGCATTAAGCATTATCGTGCAGCCATCACCGCCGCCACATCTTCACGCAATTCTACCCTTCAAAAATTTGACCGTTATTAGACCGGATCGTCACCGTCACGGCCCGCTTCTGGACTGTCTCGCAGCCCACGCTCACCTAGCCTTTCTAGCTCAGGCGTGATTTTGCCCATTATCCCACGCCCTCAGGTACCAGCTTCGAACACCACCACCGGCTGCTGATCCTGCCCGCCCAAGTGCTCGTTTTGCCCGATTCAAACCAAGCACCTGCTCCCCACGCCTAACCAGGACCACGGCCGTTCAGAGGAGACCCTCTTGCGGCATCCATCCCACTCGTTTCATCCCAATTGAACCCGCCCTGGCAGGGCCCTTGGGGGACCATAGGGATATTTCGTGCGCAGATCCCTTCTGCCGGAAAGTCGTCACTTGTTGCTGCGTCTCCACCTGTCCCGCTGACCAGAGAGGGCAATAACGTTCAGACGACTTGTGAAGCGATTGGCTTAGCGTGCAGTCTGGGAACTCCATCCTCGCAGGCGCAGGGCTGCTTGCTTGCGCATGCCATCTGTGCTCATCTCTTGTCACACTCAGACCCCCCCCCCCCCCCTCCCCTCCCCCGAACCCCATACCCACCCAGACACCTTCAAAGACACTTAAGGACGCTGATCCGTCCTTCTCGACTGCCCGTGGTCCGATCTTCTTCTCGAGTCCGACCCAGCTTAAAGGAATCACACACCTGATCAGCACCACTAGCATCTCACTTCCAACAACGCTTCGGAAAGGGGATTACTTACACCAACACGCCGTCCCATCTCATCATGACTATGACCATAGACACACACAACCAACACCGCTTCGGATCCTTAAACTTCGACCACATGTCTTCCTACTCGAGCCACCCGCACTTCACCAACCCTTGGGTTTCGACGTCGGCCCCTGCTGGCCCCGGACCTCAGGGTGGGAGTCAGAGCCTCTACGTGAGCAGCCAGGACGGCACCAGCCTACCTCACCTCAACCTCAACGGCCTCTCAAAACACCAACATTCCAACAGGCCCAGCGGCAGCACGTCGATGGCGCCATATGCCCCCCTTCCCGTCTCAGCGTCATCAGCCGGAGATGTCTACAGCAGACAACACGATATGATGCCCATGTCCCAAGATCTCCTCAGCATCAACCGGTTACAACACCCAACCACATCGGCTGCCCCTTACGACACCTCGGCCTACACAACATCGGCGTCTCCTGTCACGGCATCCTACGCCACATCACCAACAGCTTATGATCAGCTTGGCTACGCGCCAGCGCCTATCAGGGGGACATATGCTGCGCTCGCGCCCGAAGACAGCTCCAGGAGGTACTCTCAGCAGTCAGTCGCTTCCAGCCTCATGAGCCTCCACTCGTCTGGCGGCCCAGAAGGCCAGTACCAGCATACTTCAGAATCTGACTATGATTTCAGGGGACTTCAACCGGACGACCGGAGAAGCTTTCAAGATGCCCTCGAGGCAAGCCATGGCATGATGTCTCTCAGCCAGGACACACCCCGCAACATCTACGATGTTCGTGCTCGGCAACGAGGGTCGACCGAGTCTTATGGGTTTCCATCCACCCACTCAGCGACCTCGAGCGTGTCCTCGACCGGCTTCAGCCCTTACTATGGTGGTTCTGTGGACGGGTCGGTAAGCGACTACTCGACGACTGGTTCCGACATCGAGTCGCTGTCCGGGCGCACGCTCCCAAGGCCCCAGGGTCTCATGTCGAGCCAGCCACCAGCGCCACAGTCGATGATGGGATCATTCAGCTCCAAGGTCTCCTCCAGCACACAAAAGAAGCACAAGTGCAAGGTCTGTGACAAGCGATTCACGAGACCAAGTTCGTTGCAAACGCACATGTACAGCCACACAGGAGAGAAGCGTGAGTCTTGTCGTTCTTTCCACATAGTTGTCTATCCGCTCTAACAGCTTTTCCCGCAGCATTCCAATGTGAGGTTGAAGGATGCGGTCGCAACTTCTCCGTCGTCTCCAATCTTCGTCGGCATAGAAAGGTTCACAAGAACCAAGGAGAGCCCCAGACACCATCAGAAACTGGTTCCGAGGATCACCAATCAGACGAATAAATATGAATCACCTCACTGTCCGATCCCCTATTCTCATCATGTCCGTCATCACGACCTCGCCACAATCATTCAACAATAGAACTACAACCTTGTAATTTATCGTCACTTACACACAACACACATACCACACCATACACATATGAGCATTCAGGGGATCACATCCACCACATCGAACGCCATACTTCTTCATCTACGGACGAGTCAACATCTATCGCTTTTAATCCTTTTTTTCTTAATCTGTCATTGGTCGAAAGAGCGAAGAGCGGCATCTTCCAACAGGAAATGAGGCAGGAGATGTCTCCCTTGGACGATACCCTCATGGCATCGGCGTTACCGGTTGTGTTTTTTTTTTGTTCAAGGCATGCAGCAAGCTGCATTTGCCCTTCTGTACTGTCGCTTGCGTGTCACACTATACGGATTTTCATTGTCACAAAACGGATTTGGAGCGGACGGCGGGGGTTTTCGGAGGTTAGGTCTCCAGAGTTTGGGACACAACATACACGAGATGTACCCTGGCACGACATGGTAGATATTTTCTAGCGATGAGGAACGAAAGCAGAGCAGGGGCGGCATCACCATCACTCCTCCTCTCCCTGGCCTTGTTGTATTTTGGGTGGACGGTCTGTGGAAAGGCGGGGAGAGGGGAGCACATTTCACACATTACATACCTACACACCTACCTAAACATAATCATGTACTATTAGCACACCACGTGGTCTCTCTAGACCCTGCCTCGCTCGAACCAGTTCGCTGTACGACGTGGCAACAAAAAATCGATGAACCATCAACCAACCTTGCCATTCATCCTCCCGAAGCTTCGACCCCATATTCCATGTGTTCTTATTCCAATAGTCCCTAATCTGCCAACGTAACCCGAACACAATGGCCCTGAAAAAAAAAAATAGCTTTATTCTCCGCACTCAGTTTAAATGCTTCCAATTAACCATTGACAGGATCATCATTCCCTCGGCACCATTTCGCAAGTCCCATTACCCACACTTCATCTAGACGCAGTTTCAGGACAATTGTCTCCCCAATCGACAAGCCTACCCGACAAGCACCGCAGATTCTGTCTGACCCGGAACGACTGCGACGCCCCGCACCCGATACACGCAACCATGCAAAAAGCATGTCAGCATGGTTCTCTGCGTGCACTCGCACGAACAAAGTTTCCACACCAATGACACACCAAAGAGAGATAGATGTACGCGAGCAGGATGAGGAAGCAAGTGTCTTCCTTGGAGCCACCTTGGTTGGTTGACTTGGGGCGCGCGATCGACAAGAGACATGCTGCCTGGTCATCACGCCTGCCGTCACGACAAACGTTCGCACTGCAGTACCGACGATCCACTCTATCTTGTACCGCTTCAGATTAGTTACTCGCCGCCTTGTCCTGCGCACCTTCCAACAACAAGCGGTGTTTTCTTGGTACATACACCTCGTTTCTGTCCCGTCGACGACACGCACTGAACAATCAACCAGACATCAGCACATACACGTGTCATCCCAGACCGCCCGCCCCTCGGGACACCTCGAGGCGAGACGGCGGCAAGGTGGACCACGGAGGGAAGAAGGAAGCCCGGAACCGGAAGGAGATCATCGCCCTCCCCCCGGCGTGGCGCCAACCCGGTCGGCCCTTCCACAGCCTTCGCCAACTGGGACTGATGCCCAAGAACCCCAACAAGGCCACAAGGCAAAGACGTGGAGCCCTATATTGACGCCTTACCTTGGGACGAACACCTCAAAAGGGGGTGGGACAACAAGGAGGAGGCGAATAGGATACTTCGGCGACAAAACTTTCCTCTCTTGACCAAAGAGGAAGATAGCCAACCTTGTCGAGGAACCTTGAGGGCTACGCTATGTTTCAAATCTGCAAATCAGTCTCTTCGGCTCCAAGCCCAGGGCTGCTGAGGAGATGGCTCTGATCATTGCCCTCAATGGTAAGTTCCAATCACACGGCCATCGCCCTGTGGAAGCTTGAATTTGCTGAAGCAGTGCTGATCCGGGGCTAGAAAGCGGGGGTATAACCACCAGAGAACCAAGAAAATCTGAACATGACACCCTCTACGCGCGCTCTCGTCTAACATATAGATGGAGACCATCTTACTCGTCTACCACCGAGGACATGTGAACACGGCCTTCATCTAGCACACTATGTCTGGAACGGGGATGAGGGTGGGGTTGTTGATGGTGATGATATTGCAAGTCCCTACCGTTCGCCATCGCTTTTCCCAACCGGGTCCCTTCCCTTCACAGCCACAATGGACACCTCCTGATCGCTCTTCTCATCTATGTACATACAATTCAAACCAGGACAATGAAGGGGGACACGATGGGGCTGCAAGATGATGAAGCATAAGAAGAAAAACTGGGAACAGGATGGGTTCCTATTCGACAAAATGACGCAGTCGGGAAGACCTGCCTGCGAATGCAGAGTTCCTCAAGCCGCCCGGCCCCCACAACCATCAACGTTGTTTCGGCAGTGGGAACACACGGAAAGAAAAACAGACGAGACCCAGACACATGGCGAGGTCGGGCAGATGGGAACCTGGAACTCGGAGGAACGCAACACAGGGTGAGACATTGGGATGTGGGCTTTTGGTGTCAGATGGCGTAGAGGGCCGAACGGTAACGGCTACTGTCAAAACTGCGCCTTCTTTCGGCATTCAGCTTTTGTAGGAGGCTGGAGACTGACATCAATAAAGGGATTATGAGAGAGGTAGGTACAGCATGATTTCCTGCTTGGACCAAAATGTTGTGTTGGCAAAGCTGTGGTTGATATCATCGTCAAACGTCACGACGTGGTGTCGAATGGATGCTTGTGTGTGGTCAATTTGTGGAGTGGCCCCACAAATGACGTCGGCGTGCAAGGCTTGGCCCTGGCGACCCAATTGAGGCTTGGGAAGGATTCCGCACTCACATTTTCATGAGTTGAGCCATTGGACTATTATCTCTGATTGATCTATTGCCTCCTCAGGCTGCGACCCGGTTTCCAGTAGCATTATTCGCCGAAGGGCACGCAGCAAAGAGCTATGCCCGCCTTTCTACCTATGTTGATGGTGGGCTGCAAGATGGCGACAGTTTTCCCCGCGGCATTATTCCCCGCCAATCAGAACGGCCCCGCTAACAACGACGGATCTTCAGGGTCCTCCTCCATTTTGTTCACAAAAAAAAAAAAGCTGGAAAAGCTGCCGAGGCGTGTCCAATGAGTGCTTGATCTCGAGCGGCACAGGCACCAGATGCCTCCCACTGTGCCGTTAGCCTTTTTTCAGCTACCTCAACTTTTGGACAACACGAAGGAAGGCCCACTAGGCTCATTATCAAATCCGGAATCACAGAATCACATTGCATAACACCACCTACCCATGCCCACCGGGACAAGACGGTCTGTTTGAGCTGGCGAGCCAGCAACCAAATTCAATGCAGTCTAATGCAGTTGCGTGAAAAGAGGGTCCCCGTCACTGTGGAGAGGCAGATGTGTTCGCCGACTCCCACCTGTTCCCCCTCATCCAACCAAAATATGTACCCTCTTCGTCATGACCTTGCAGCTGAAAAAAAAGAAAAGAAAGAAAAAACCTGGATGCAATAAGGTCCTCGGCCAACATGACATGATGGCGCCACCTTACGCCGCGAGAATACTGTAAACAGCAAAAAAACCACTCCCAAACAGCACTGGGCAAAAATCACAGGGAAGACTTGACGTTGATTCAATGCCGGTATATTATGACGTCATTAATGCTTACTTTTGGTCCACTAATGGGGGGCGGCCCCACTTGGGCCGTCAACTAACCAACGGTGGACTGCACCGTTTTTGAGGGATGACAAAGACTCCACGAAACGCTTTCTCGAGTCATGTCGGGCAGTTCGGTTCGTCCTGTCGTTGTCAACAGTTTGACTTTAACCACTGTTACCGCTTCAGATAAGCAAATGCGCTTGGAGTTTGATGGACCCGTGGGAACAGTTCCAAATCGAAAATTCCCTCGCTAGCAGGGAGAGACTGTCTTAGTGTGCCTGTATCCCAGTATCCCCCTCATTCCGGAGGCCATGTCCCTGCGAGTTTGGCCGGCCCCGCTATTCACATCCAGGGTCCTTGGCTCTGAGAGTTTTGAAGAATTCAGATGACACTTGGATGCTCTCCACGGGGACACCTTTCACCTCAGCAACAGCTTCTGGTAACGTTGTTCCTGAGAGATTCTGCACGCCAAGTTGTCTGTGCATGCTTGACCACAGCAACAACATCCACGGGAGAGTTATCGAAAAGAACGCAGTCGCATCGCAGCGCCCGCTCACGGCTAAAGCACCAAAAAAGCCAGCAACACATACTTTTTTCTACATGGTCTTTTTACGTCAAAAGAGCCCAACAAACACCACGGTTCCATCACACCGTTGCTTTCTGATCCACCGAGGCGCAGCGCCCAGAGTGACCCAGGCAGAATCTGAAACAGCTGATGATCTCACCAGAACCAAGGCCAGCATCATTGCAATTTACCGCACATGCTGTTAAACACCCGGCAAGGACAGGCCTGCGTGCCATTTTGTTGCATTTCCCGGGGTACGCTGCCACGACATGACTGTGCCTCTTATCCCTACGGCTGAGTACTGGAAGGGGATTCGTCCAACTGAGCATATTGGGCTTTGCTAACGACACTGTCGTGATTTTTTTTTTCTCTCCCTCGTCGTCTACACAGTGTATTTTCAGCCTCTTTTCCGCCGCCACCTCGAGAACCGGTTTTTCAAATTGCCATAGCTGCTGGCTCAAAATCCCATCTTTCGTCTTGTCAATCAATGTCAGCTCAGCGGATCTGTGCATGAGAGACCCTGAATTTCATATCGTGCAGAACCGACATGACTTTATTCCTGGACTTTAGCACACCGGATATTATTTATCTCGTGTTGACAGTTCTGAATCCCGCGTTTACATTTCATGATGCTACCACGATGGTAACTGACTACACTGCTGAGTCCGAGAGGTACCTCGGTACCTACACTCTACACAGTCC